AATTACAGAATTGTTGGAACACCTCCAAGTAGACAGAATAGCCGACATTGAGCGGCAGTACTATGATATTAATCTAGTTAAGTGGGAAAACGTTAATGACAGCTCCGAATTTTGGAATGAAGTCTCCAATTACAAGGATTCTGGCGGCAACCGCCGATTCCTTGACTTGGCAGCTGTTGCCCTGCAAATGTTTTCATTACCATGGTCCAACGCGGAGGTGGAACGCGTATTTAGCCAGCTTAACTTGGTAAAGTCCAAGTTAAGGAACTCAATGAGCCTAAGCACAATAAACAGTATTCTTAGCATAAGGTAATATTTTATTGAGAGTGAAAAGATGATACCGATATATATATTACTTTTTTATTTAATATAACACACAGATATGGTTTGCGAAGACTGGGCAAATGCTGCTATGAATACAAAGTTCCTTCAAATTATCTTCGCATGATAGGTACTAACAGGTCGTACGATTCTGAAACCGATGCTAGTCGCGAAGAATTAGATAGCATGCTGAAAATCTTGTGAATTAAAAAAAAAAAAAAACAATCAAACCATAAAAACCGCTTTTTTTTAGGCTTTTTTGTAAAAATTTTCAGCTTTTTTTTCCGTTTCTTACATCTAAAACAGCTTTTTATTCTGGTAAAAAGTTGGCAGCACATTGTGCTACGAAAATATGGGAACACAAAATCATTTCTCTTCATACGCTCGACCGAGATGGTCGATTGTTAAACAAAAGGTCCCTCTATGCTAAATGTTTCCCTTGCTCTCTCTCTCTTATCGATGCTCTTCGCTCTCTCAAATGTGTATATGTGTGTATGCATTAATAATTTTATTTGCCGTTTTAGAAAGCAAATTACATTCTTCAAATTGTACATATTGATTAATGTACGTTTTACAAAACTTTATTTATGTTTTGATTAAAATAATTTAGGTGTTTGTCAGAAGGCTCTAAGTTTTCGTAAACATAACGGAATTTAGTGCTGCTAACCATATCATCTGCTAAATCATATCATCTTGTTTATTTATAAAATAGTTCGTTTTTAGGGTATTTTGCGAAATTTTATAAAAGTACGTAGTTTTAGTCTCATCACACGTAGGCACGTAGATCTCCTTTAAAATACGGAGATCTACGTAAAAAGACGGAGGGTTGGCATCCCTGGTGGTCAGTGTCAGTGGCTATATCTATAGTATTTAGTATATACTAATTTTTATATTTTCAGAAAGTAGAGCAAAAAATTAAAAAAATACGGCCACACCTACAAGCACGTGTTAAAAAGTAGAAGCAACAAATCTGCGATTTTGTCTATTTTAATAAAATGGTTAAAGTAAAGCTGGAACACGCCGAAGAAACGGACGTTTCTATTAAAGTTAGCGAAAATACGACAATTAAGGAAGAAGAAACCTATGACGACAAATTGCTTTTTATAAATGCTATAGCGAAACCAATGGCAAGTAAGAAGCTGGCCAAAAAGTGTTATAAATTGGTGAAAAAAGCCATGAAGCATAAAACCTATTTGAGAAATGGATTGAAGGATGTCCAAACGCGTTTGAGGAAAGGTGAAACAGGGTAAGACAGCTCAAATTCTATCTGCCACAATTTCTAATAAACAAAAACTCTCGTAGGATTTGCATATTCGCTGGGGATGTGACTCCTGTTGATATTATGTGTCACCTGCCGGCGGTTTGTGAGGAGAAAGGTATTCCATATACTTATACTCCGAGTCGTGCTGACCTCGGCGCTGCTATGGGAGTCAAGAGAGGTACTGTGGCTTTGCTTGTGCGACAAAACGATGAATACAAGGATCTATACGATGAAGTTAAAGAAGAATTGTCTAACCTAAATATTCCCGTTTGATCTTTTAAAACTAATTCATACTTCTTTAAGGATTTTATTAATAAGTCAACACTTCTAGAGTAAAGTTTAAAAATCCAATAGGAACTTGGACAAATTATAAATGAAAACAAATCTGCTGGTAGTCATATAGACTACTATCTATTTGTTTTTGTATACATATGTATATCATTATTGTAATTTCTGAAATATACATCAACATTTTATGAATTATTGAGTGTTACTTATGAAAATAAGGCGCGGGACACTATGAGAATTTATTAAACTTTACAAAATGCAATTTTAATTGAAATGTTGCTCCAATTACAGTGTCTGAGCCAATTAGTAAATTCATAATAGATATAGATAGGTTCTTCAAAACTAGATGATTAATAATAAAAACATAATAATAATGTATGTTAATTGATTTGACCTTAAAATTTTGCTTTTAAGTAGGCAAGCTACAAGCTTCCCAATTCGGTAGGTCGAAGTTGGGGTGATTGCAAGTAAAGTATAATCTGAATTTTTTATTGGCCTATATTGTCTGCATCGACGTGGTTCGTTCGTTCGCTTCGAATGCTGGGCTTAAATCAATCACTGTACTAAATATAGCCAAGAGCTTTAAGCCCCAGGGAAGCTCGAAATCAATCATTCTAATAAAATATTTGTTGCACCCGTGCACAGATAGCTTCCACCTGACGGTTTCAGAAATGTAGATAATTGAATTGGAGGAACGAAAAGATTTGGATGCTGTTTTTGGTGTCCTTAAGGAAATACAATACTTACATATATATATTGTGCTACACAGTTCTTCAACGTGTATTTTGTATGTGGTTCTTGGTTTAAATAATTAACTTTTGTGCTTAATGAAATGTGTTAAGACAAACTGGTATTAATATAACTATATTTTGTATATTTGTATTTTACTGTTATTAAAAGGTAATATATATATATATATATATATATATATATATATATATGTATATATTTTTTTTTTTATTTTATAATTTAATTACATTCTACGCCCTTGCAGGTCAAATAGATACAAACTACCAAAAATCGAACAGACATACATTAAGAATAATAAAATGATTTCATTTCTATGATACTCGACTTTGAATTTACTGGGCGTGGGCAGCGTTAGATACTTATCCAATTTTTTTTTTTTTTTTTGCATCCGGACAATCTGAGAAAAGTTTTTTATACGTAAGTGCTGTAGAGGTATGTATGTACATACAATGAGTGTCCCATATACATATATAGTAGGCAATATATTAAAAATACAATAATAAAGCATTATATTTGTACGTTATAAGTACGTAAATAAATTAAAGATTTGAATAAAGATAGATAATAATGTATTTGAGTACATGATAAATTTTCAGTTTCTAATTTTTCGAATGGTCAACTGCTGTACAATACTCAAGATACAATATATATTTATATGTATTTATAACTCAAGCGCACTTAGCCCAAGCTGAACATTACTCTCGTAGCATATGATCTACGGCTAATAGAATGATTATACAATACAAACTTGTTTTAATTACCTTAAGAACTAGCTAATTGTTTGTGTTTTTGTTTTTTTGTGTTGTGTTTTGTATTTTTTTTGTTTGTTTTCTTTTTATAATTTTCTTTGCTTTTTTTATATTACTTTTTTTTGTTTTTTTTTGTTTTTTAGTTTTAAAGGCTGGGTGCTCAGAGCGACCCTGCGACATACGAAATGACAGCGCCAAGGGCGTGCATAGGGCGGATCGGCCTGCTGCGGCATTTATAATTAATAATCATATGTATATAATATATAATAATTGTAATAATAATTAAACCTACATATTTAAATTAATTCTGATTAAAAAAGCAAAGGGAGAGCTAAAATTAACAAGCAATTCATGATCTGTTTTTGAGTTTTTCTAATTTTTCAATTTTTTTTTTTCTTTTTTTCTTTAAGACCCTAAAGTCTTTTATTTATGGCGTTGATGCCACGTGCAGCAGGCGGCGGCATTCAACGACGTCCATTACATGTAATCACTGAAAATAGTTGTAGAAGCCAGATGTTGCCTGTCCCAATTCTCGTATGGCCGCAAATGGGTCTTTTTCCATGTCATTCGCTGTAAGGGAGGATTTCGAAGCATGAAGTGGCCGTGCTGAATTCATTGTTGGCTGCTGATGTGCGGAAGCTGCTTGCGGCCCTTGACTTAGCACAGCCGCATACGTGGTTGCTGAGGACTGCGGTTGGTTGACGGCGTCGGTAGAGGATTGTTGAGCAGTCTGTGGTGCCACATTGGAGAACAAGTCCAGATCATGACCGCTCTTGATTGTGTTGTAGTTATTGTAGAGCAGACCGTGGCTGGGATCGGACTTGTTCGAGTGCTCGGACGCCGTATTGTTGGCTTGGAACAAGACCTCAATCAGGTTGGCACTCGTGTCCAAATTGGCGAAAACACCGGGCATATTGTTGTAATTGTTGCCACCATTGCCGGTCATTGCCTGGCGCCGGTAGAGCGGAACAGAGCTGCCATTATTATGAAGGCCATTGGTGTTCTGTCCACCATTATTATGACTATTAAAATTGTTAAACGGCTTGTCGTTCAGTAAGGTGTTTCCGGCTACAGAAAAATGAGTGTCATGCTCTTGGACATAAAAGAGGATAAGCCAGATGGAACTTACCATTGTTCATGAAGTTAGATACACCAGCATTGCTGTTAGAGCCTGGGTGGACACCTGCTCCCTGCAACGGTCCAGTCATATGGTTGGCATACATAGCTAACGGCTGCAACTGACCAGCGTTTGGGCCATGTTTTCCCATAGTCAGAGATGCTGGTTGTGTCTGCTGTTGACCCTGCATCATACTAAAGAGGCGACTTTGTTGTTGCTGTTGTTGCTGCTGCTGATGCTGCAAATCTCCGCCATTCATCATGCCATTTGAGAGTGGCATCGCCCCGGTACCCGCTGTCGATGTCGATACGCCTACCATGCCAAGAACGTCCCGCAAAATGGGTTGTGCGATGTCATTGGCCCCATTCATGATCGAATTGAACACAAGATCTATTTGCTGATTAAAGTTGTCCAAGGGCGGCGACGAGTCCACTGGCTGCTGATTCAGGTTTTGACCCTGTCCAGTGTAAATTACTGGATACTGTGCCCGCTGCGGCTGTGGCCCCATAACAGCATGTGGATTAGATATCATCGGCGGTCCCGGTGCTACCGGTGGCTGGGGCTTGTGTCCTTGCGGATGGTGTTGTGATTGGTGACCCTGTTGCTGCAACGTGGTCATCACTTGGCGCAGCATATCGCCGAACTTGTTAGCTGCCTCTTGACCCGCTGACTCAAGTAGTTTGAGGTACCACTTATACTGTTCTTCTTTAGAGCTGAACGCCATCTCATAGATACTCATGTTGGGAGGCAGAAGCTCGTGCGCAGCCGGAAAGCGCAAGTTGCTTGGCGACGGCTGTTTGCCGGCCGTGTACATATAGGGTGCAGGTGGGGGTTGCTGAGGTGGACCTGCGGACTTATCGTAGTTGGCATAACCTGCCGCAGTGCCATTATGACGCAGATAGGGTGGCGGCCCGTTTTCCATTGGGCTCATTGGCCCATTGGGAACGCTGCTTCCTCGTTGAATTGGTATTGGTGGCTGCCCGTACAGATGGTGTTGTGGAGGAAGGGGCTGTTGGGATGGTGGCGCCTGGCCATGATTGTAAAGCGTCTTTTTAGCCAAGTAGCCGAGCTCACTTGGATTCCTTAGTAGTTGCGCCGCAGAGGTTGCATTGGCTGCAGCCGGCGGCACACTGCCTCCTCGCAAAGCCTGTTAACGAAAATTTTTCAAAATATGTTAAGCAATAATTACCACACAATGGTAAGAAAATCTGGCGATAGTACTAACAAGTCTTCAGGATCGCCTCGAATATCACCAATTGACTTTTGAAACAAAAACCTTTTAGGCTCGCCCTTGGCATATTGAATATTATTATTATATTTCTCGATTAATATTCAAACTTACTGGAGGGGGCAATGGTCCCGGGCCACGGCCTGGAGCATTGGACTGCTGAGGTGGCTGCTGTTTGTTGGGTGGTAAGACGCTCCAGGGATTGGTTTGAGGTGGTGGACCCCAGAGACTGGCATTGGGATTCTGTTGCTGCTGTTGAGGCTGTTGTGGGGCGACGGGTGGCCGCCAATGCTGCATAGCTGCGTACTGACCATATGGCGGGGGCGGAGGTCCTCCACTTCCTGGCTGAGACTGTCGCATATGTGGTGGCACGGGAGGTGGTCCGTTAGTTGGCGGGCCACGCATTCCCATATGACCACGAATATGTCCGGCAGGTCCCGGGCCTGGTCCTGGCGACGGTCCGTTGGAAGATTTACCGCCAGCGGCTACTGCTGCCGCCATCATTGCAGCCATATGAGTGGAATACATATGATTGGCAGCCATTGCTGCGGCCATTTGATTCATTTGATGCGCAGACGGCCCGGGACCCATGCCAGCGTTGGCAGTATAATGAGGCGGCTGACTGCCAGGTGGCACGTGTGCTGGAGCATTTAGGTACAGAGCTGCTTGCTCGCGTAAGTATGCCTCCGGTTGTAGAGCACGAGGAACGAATTCGGGAGCTAATGGATTGAGTACATAGCCGCGCTTCATTTCGACGCCATCTAGCTGGGATCGCAAGTTTGACCAAGTCAATCCAAACAGTGACTTGTGCTCATCGCATATTTCAATGAACCGCTCCCAGACCTTGCGACATCGTCCTATGGAACAGAGAGCTACCGGATCGCCAACAACAGCCACCAAAGATTGCGCTCGCGTAATCGCAGTATTCAAAAGCTTTGAGTTGCTTAGAAAGCCATAATCGGTATCAGCGTCACCTATGCTGGCTGCGGAAATGGCCGCACCCCCCGCACCGGGATTGCTTCCTTGCGGCAAGCATGTCCGCCTTGTTCGCACTGTGGACAGAAACACTGCACGGAACTGTTTGCCCTGCACATTGAGAACGCGTTCCACAGATATTCCGCCCATGCGACGTTTCCTCAGCTCGGAACGAATGCGAAAAACTTGATCCGCATACGGAGTCATAATTCCGATGCTAGTGTCATTCAGCTTGCCCCAAGCACTTGGCCACCGCTTGCGCAGTTCCGAGACACGTTCTACGACTTCGTAGACCTCAGCATTGTTATAGAATGCTGTAGAGTTTTTATCTTGTACATCCTCTCCTCTTGTTGTAAAAAATGTGAGGGGGTAAAAGCGTTCATGACGCGGTTGCTTACCAGATGCTACAAGCTTTTGCTCGTAAAATAGCTCCGAGGTGAATTTTATAATGGCCTCATGCGCACGGTAGTTCTCGCAAAGCAAAATCTTACAGGGAAAGTTCGAAGGATAGTGGTCGTAAAGTCGTTCAAGCAGTGAAATATGCAATTTGCGTTCCTTTGCAAACGCAGAGAAGAGCTCGGGACTCATCTGCATATGGTCTCCAGCCAGTACAATTCGAGTGGAATCGTTGGCCAGAGCCAGCGGCATAATCGCCTCACATTCCATCGCCTGCGCTGCCTCATCTAAAAATATATGGGTGAATAGACCCTTGGGCAAACCGAGCGAAGCCAACTCCATGCTGATACTCAGGGTGACAACTATGATGCGATGTCGCATTATGTCTTCAACGCTAGGCCGTCGAAAGTTGCCAACGCCATCGGTTATGCAATATTTTTGCACTACACTGTTGACGGTCGCGGACCAACGCTTGTGGTAGTAAACTCGCAGTGGCGTCGCTTCCGTGAGTCCCTCCTCAATCCACGGATGCAGGTACTCCTTAATATACAGGTCTGCCGCTGAATTGGAATGCGTACAGATGAGTATCTTGGCTTCTGGCTGGGCAAGGAGCTGTTTAATTGCCTGAGCCAGTGTATATGTCTTGCCCGTGCCGAACGGTCCGATAAGTAATATTGGGGGCAGCTTAATACTTAAAGCCGTTGTAATGGCGTTGACCGCCTCGCGCTGTTTTGCATTCAGCTTAGGTTCGCAGGCATCAGCCCATTGCTTTTTAGGTGTCCAGGGTATGGCTGGCTCCAGTTCAGTTGCGGGAAATATTAAACGAAAGTCGGTTATTTTATCCACAGCGTTGTGCCACTCGCAGTATGGCATGCGATTAAGCTGGAACTGTATATCTACGTCCAGCTCCGTGTCCGCTTGCAGGCCCATTGCTTCGACACATTTTGACGACAGCTTCAAATATATTACATTCTTTCCCTTATCTTCAATAAGTGCTTCGTAAACGGCGCGCTGCTCCGGTTTATCTGATTTATCGGACTTAGCTGTTGTTTCCTCCGGCGCTGAAATATAAACGCTGCTGCAGTTCGATAAAATCAGGCGACCCGGTGAAGTATCCTCTGAAATGTCTTTGCCCAGGCGCATCAATGCGAAAAGCTCACCGGCTAACGAATATTTCGCCGTACTAGTTGCCATTCCCGCCGGTGTCAATATATAATTCGAGGCAACTGTCAGCCGGGTGCGCACGTTATACCGTGCGATTTGCTCATAACGAGCGATCTCCTCAACGTAAAGCAACTCGTGTATACGTGAGCGGTAGTTGTTTTGCGTCAGGCGTTTCTCCACAATAGTGGACTGTGTTAACGTAAAGGTGGCAGCACGTGGACAGGGATATCTCTCTAAAAGCTCGCGTTCGTGCTGCAAGTCACTGAGATAGGCCTCCGTTTTCAAATGCGTTCCTATCGTGGTCTCAAAGCGAGTCAACTTGGTGTTAGAAACATCCCATCGAGTGGCCGAGCTGTTTATAATATCGCGCTTGATTTCCTCGATTTTTTCGGCATCGCTGACAGGTAACACATCAACGCAAAGATGACGTACCAGCAAAGGCTCCTGGCCGATATCGAAACAAACCGACTGCCGAAATGTGCCGTAAATTTCAGTGTGAAATTCAACAGTAACTTCATGTGCGCTAACGAGCTTAGATGGTGTCGTGCTTTCTTGGCTCTCAGGTAATGTAGAAGACACCCACTCCTGATCAGACTTTAATTCTACATTGACCTCCGCATCGCCTGTGGATTGGCCCAGCTTGATGGACTTGATTGCAAAATGATTGCGATGCGCGTCCTGTAGCAGAGCAACCGCCTTCAGCGGCCGCAATGTCTCTAGCTGGAACAGCCATTCACGTTTAGAAGTCTTTGAGCTGATGCTGGTAACCAATTGCTGCTCACATTTCGCTTCTATGTCCGCAACTTTCTCGCACATTATGCGCTCCGGGGCTGTGGCTTGAATCCATCGTTCGAGCACTTGTTCCGTGTATGACTTTCCATATAGCTCCTTCTCACAAGCCTTTTGCACACGCATTCGCCGATACTCAAATCGTTCCTTCCACTCGTTCAGTTCGTCCAAACCATGAGCCTCAACGCATTGAGCTCCGTAATGGCATGTCTGTGCTTCCGCGAATGTCTCGCAGAGGCTATAAGTGTCTAACGTGTAACCCCGAGGTGGAGGACGCCATTTCCAGTCGCGACCTGCGAAATACACATATTGTTCTCAATGAACAACGAAAGAACGCAACGAACGGCACTTACCCTCATCACTCATTATCACTTTCTGGTGGCTTTCAGTCTGGCAATGTTGCCTCAATTCGTTCCGTGTTTGGAAGTTGATGGCACAATAACTGCACGTTATTGTTGATGTTGAGTGCGCTGCTTGATCCGAATCGGGTACAGCATCTACTGATGAATGCTTAACGCCAGTCAGCTTAATTGCCGACAGCAGTTCAATATTCTTGGTGTTCAAGCTGGAAGTGGACATGGTACTGCTGCTACCGGTGCTGCTGCTGCTGCTGCTGAAGCTACCGCTGCCATTCTGTTGCTGTTGCTGCTGTTGTTGCTGCTGCTCGCGTTTCTTTAATCCTTTGTTGCTAAGTAGCTTGCTATACTTATCCAGGGGCAGATTGTTTGTAGCCCAGTGATCGAGCTTGGTGTCCAGTATTGCCATCTCATCCTCAAGGCGTGCATGAGGAATTTTCTGCGATTGCGTCTGTAATTTGTTCTGTCCGTTCATAATCATCTGTATAATTGATTTATACCGCTCAAGAGTTTTCGATATGTCCGAAAAGATTTGCTGGCCACTTAATTCATTTATCCACTTGCTCAGAAACTGTTCTGCATCCTGTAATAATTAATTCATGTACAAAGCGTGTTTACTTAATTTCCAATTAATTTTTTGTCGAGCGACTCACCGAGTACTTGTGCAGCTTGAATAGGGCGTGCACCAGCCAACGGCGCGCCCGCGAGACGCTTGCCAAACACTCCGTCTGCTCTGAAAGAAGAGTCAGCACTTTGTACGCATCTTGCAGGCACGCTTCGTATTTGCCCAGCTCCAGGAGACACTCGCAACGTCCAAGCAGGCAGGCGATTTGCTGATCCTTCTGCACTCGTGTCGTTCCATTCGGCTGCCCTTGTGATTGCGGCTGTGGCTGTGGGTTCGCACTGGCCGAGAGTATTTGATCGTAAAGTGTCACAGCACGCGCCCAGCTTCGCCGTCGCACCATGTCATGCGCCTGCATCTCCTTTTCAGCGGCCATTGAGGGCAGCCTTCAATTGGCCAGACAAGTTCGCCGAAGTTCGATGAATGCTGCGAGCTGAAAAGAAGTCCTGCTGCCTTTCCTTCAAGCCCCTACACAGTCCTCTTTTTTTAATGGATTCGCAGTATGGATGTATATGGGCACTTGCTTAAGCTAACAATTTACACTTATATACCAGCTTCTGCTTACTGAAAAATAACAAACAAAAAGGCGTAAGAACTTGTCCAGTTTGTAATTAATATCAATATCAAATACATAGCGCATAGCCGCAAGTCCAATTAATGCAAATTAAGTTCGTGGTGAATCGTTTGAATCATCTTGGTAGTCAAATGCATATATTAAAGGAAAGTTGGACTTATAGGGCAACAGCTGTACCTATTGAGTCCATTTAACTCTGTATCCATTTTAGTTTTTGTTTTGAAATGTATTAGCGCACACGATAAGTGGTATACATTAGCAGGACTTAAATACATGCTGTTAAAATATAGACATAATGTAAGTTAATATCACATAAAAGAATTCTCTTTAATTAATTATTTTATTTACACAAAAGATACATTTACATCGAACCGATGTCGGGCATTCCATGCGTATGTGGTACGCTTGATTCGAAACAGTATTTTTACATAGTTCGTCATTAATTTGCAATTGTACTCGTTTTCGCAAGATATATTCACTTTTCGTGTTAATTTTCGCATATAGTATGTATGTAGGTTCTGCAACAGTAGACGGTGCTCAACACAAAACGAAATGTCAAATTAACAGCCTGTGCCTTTTGATACGGCCATACGCAATGATGTTGCCATATAAATGTACACATACTTATAAATGTGCAAATACACACACGTATGTACATGTATAAATATACATATATATGCATATTTATCTGTGTATATATAATATATATTTACGTATATATATAAATATATATAATTCAATTGGACATTTTATTTTAAAGTACATTCATGTATATAAATTCTCTTGGATTTTCGCAATATACTTCAACATTTTCTGTAAACGAAAATATTTGTACTTCTACTAACAGAAAAATGCAAAGGCGCAGCAGCTGTCATTTGTCAAGCTAAGGCATTGGTATACATATTCGGTGGCATTAGATTATCTCACAAGCACAATTTAGTTACCTTTGCAATAACTGTTAATAATGCTACACTAAAGTCTAATTTAATTTTACATGGTTAAGCACAAACTATGATAGAAAATGCACATCTCACGTCGAAAAATGTTAAAAATAAGCTATGTATGTACTAGTGTTGTATCGCTCATGAGTGTCTTTTTAACTAATTTATCAGCACTAAAATGTGGTGGTCGACCGATATTAAATAAAAAACTCGACTATCGGAATGATATAATGCAGTTTATACGAAGTCTATGCTATGGCTTATCTTAACTTAATTTTTCGGTAACGCATAAAATTGTCTAAAAATTTAAACGTACTTTGTACAACTCTGATTTCAATTCTTATGTAGATTTACGTATTTTTATTTATAACATTTATTTATTTAATATTTATAGTCAGTCGGTTTAATGTTTAATACGATAGTCTTGTGCATATTCTTTGTCTGCAATTGTTTGCTTTCCAGAGCATATAACTAATTGTTTAGCTTTTGTAATAAGTTATTATTATTATTATTAGTTAGAATTTAACATTATTTTGTATAATATATATGATTGTTGGAACATAAATAAATAATTTTAGTTTTTCGTGATTGAATTTGATTGTAACATAGGTATGTATGTATATTATTGAATATTTAGACAAACATAAAAAAACGTATCATTTTCTTAATAAGGACAAGTATTAAATTACAAAGAATTTCAAAGACATTCAAATTCAAATCGAGTTATATGAACTTTTTAGCAAATTTGATTACATCGATGGCCAATTTCAATTCCCTGACACCACGGACTCCGAGGGATTCCAATTCCTCCAAAGTCATCTGAACCAGTACTGCCATGTCGATTTCTTGACGTCTGAACAAATCGAGTAGGTGATTGTTGCCTGTGCGATTGAGCAGTGAACTAACCCTGGGACTGAGCTCAGGCTGGTTAACGGGTGAGCTACGCTTGAAGTGGCGTTTTGGTGGGGCTTGTTTAGTGATTGCATCCGTTAGTTGAGAGGATCGGGTATCTTTCTTTGGCGGCGCAGAATCACCTTGAATTGCTGTGCCATGAGCACAAGGTGAAAAGACAGATCTAATCCGCATAAAATCCTGCGAGAAATGTTTTGGAGTACATGAACCAATCAAGCGTCGTGCATGGCCAGCTGTTTGATTTTGCACGCTATGGTGGTTGGGTCGAAGACCGCGGGAGTTGTAGCTCTGCGACTTGCAGGGGTTAGGCGTTGGCGGCGACGGAATATTATCAAAACTAAAGGCCCGGGTTGTAAGTGGTGTTATGGGCGTGAGCGGCGATCTGGGATCTATTCATAATTTGATATTCAAGTATTTTTATCTCATTAATTATATCGTGAAGTTTACCTCTCCAGGCACGGTTATAGCGATCCATGGAAGCGTTTTAAATAATTTTCTGAAACTCTCAGCGCAAGCAATGAAACGCGCATTATAGTCGGAACTGTAAATTACATGCACGAGCATGCATATTCACATGTATGTTATGTGAACACATACATATGTATATTTACCATATTCCACTGTTAAAAGACACAGTCACTATACACAGACACTATCACTTAATCGAGACCATATTCATATTTACATACTTACACATACGCGAAGTAATGCAGTCTGGCAGCTTTTTTGATAGTTGGCAACGCTGCGTTATGTTTGAATATGAACGCGTGTGTGCGCAAAATTGTGGTGCACTCTGGAAATCTTGAGCTTTAAATTTAGTTTTATTGATATATTATAATATTCTATGCGATCTGTCAAAGTTTTTGTAAACTGAAACAAATATCTTAAATAAAGAGAGAAGAAAGGAAATTTGAATATAAATTGGGTGCAAGAAAAATATCCTTTTGTTTGTACTGTTTAAGCCAAATACAGAAAGCCCGAAATTTTGATGAAATCTTTGAAGATTTCAAAATAAAAATAATATAAAGTTTTGTTTGAATCAAAGCTTTTGAAGCTTTCGAGCAAAATGCTCTCTAAGTTTTTGTATAACTTACAGCACTTACAGCTAAGACCTATTAATAGATCCACTGATGCTTAAATGAACAACAGATGGCGCGATGCACAGTGTATGCTTAGTACTTTTGGCTTGCAAATTTGATTGTATCTTAATAAGAAACTTGTTTGTTGGTATACATATACACATACATATATACATGTATTCATGTGAATTGGGTGTAATAGATAATACCTAAGGAACAATATTTCTCAATATATAAAAAAATCAATATCCATTACAATAAATTGAGAAGCTAATGTATTTGTTACTTATATATTTTATAATAGTCAATTCTTCATTAATAATATTTGCAAATTTAAGTTCAATAAACTGGAAACAAACCAAATTTCTAAATTGTAAAAAAGAGACTTGTCATTTAAGATCAGGACTTGTGAATATTTAGTATCTAATTAAAGCGAGTTTGACGAGTTTTTTTTGTTTGTTTTTATATTCTCATTTAAGATACTGCGCACAAAGCTTTTGCGAAAACTGCTTATGTAAATGTTTGAGCGTTCTGAAAGAAAGAATATACATACATATACAAGTGTACTAATCTATATGATTGCTGAAGTCACATAATTCTGTTGGTATGGAAATCAAAGAAAAAAAATGTATTCTGTATTTTATTGTAAGGTTGCTTTCCAAGGATCTCGTTCATTTTATTTTCTTGACAAGAATTTGTAAATTACCGCTAACTACATATCAGAAAATATAAGTTATATGCTGAAATCATTTGTCATTTGGGCGGCTCTTGAGTGCTTCATATATCAAGGCTAAAATTTTAGAGGACATCGTAACTTCCAGAAAGTTACATATAAAAGTTTTCTAAAAAAAAAAGAATATGTTAAAGTTGAATCCTCCAAACACCTCGCTAAATGAACGCTTGTTGTTGCCGGCTTTTTAGTTTTGGCTAGCGAAACAGCTGAGGGACCAGAAGCAGCTGCTTTGTGTTTATATTTGTTATTGAGAACTATGCAGCTCATGCGCATTGAGTTGGGCACGAATCTGAGCTTCGGCTTCGGCGTTGGTTTCGGATTCGGCTTTGGCGTCGGCTGCCCCCACTGGTCGGCTATAAAATTGTGGCTTGGCGCTTTGGCGACTCAGTCGTCTAACGGAGTTCAAACCAGCTGGGCAGAAAAGTTCTGGCGAGCTTTTTGGCAGCAAAGCTGCAACCGTTTTACTGAGAAAACTTGTAGTTTAACTGTTAATTTTTTATAGAAATTTGCTCGAGCTAACGCAAAACGTAAACAAGTCCGCTGCTTGCTTCCCAATCGCTGTGCGAATGTAAATGAGTATTTCGAGTATTTCGTGCCGTTCTGTTATGCTGAAGTGCACAAAGGCGCCATAAATAATAATAATAATAAAAATCGAAGTAAAAGCAGAGCGTCAAATAATAAAAACTACTTCTATATCAATAGGCGATTGCCATTGATTAACCATTCTAAAAGTTGGCAAAGCACACCAAAAATTGAAAAAAGTCAGTGAAGTGTTAAAAAACAAAAATAAATATTTGTAAATACATACATATAAATGTGCATATATGTTTATACATACATACATACACACACACACACACACACACACATACGTATATAGCACTTGTGAAATAAATTGCTACGCCTTAACAAAAGAACCGAGGTATGTTTTTTGGTAATTATTATTTTTTTCTTGTTTTCTTCTTTACTTGCTGATGCAAATTAAATTAGGCAATTAAATAAATGTAAAAAATATGGTATGAATAAAATTTGTTTTTTTGCTTCGATTAGTTAGATTTCTCGACATTTATTTTGTCGATTCACGTTAAACAGACAATTGAAAATATTCTAATAAAAATCTGATTAGATTTATAAAATCTATTTATTTTATAAGATCTATAAAACCCGAATTGAATATTAATATATGTATATATAATCTCTTGTGAATGATGTATTTCTAGAAATATTATCCAAACGTGTATAGATGTCTACATATTTGTAAGAGTTAGACACACAACGTCTATACATATAATTGAACAAAAAAAAAACCCTCAACAATCACAGTTACGTTTTGTGTGGACCTTCAAACGATATACAATAGGAACGTACTTGTAGCTATAGCTATTGCTGAATATTAGAGAAATCTTAAAAAAAAGACTGACAGACTGGCAGAGGAGTGTGACCACTATTTTGCTTCTTAATTTTTGTTTCGCTTGTACAAAGTTTTTTTTTTTATTTACACACCGACAATTAGATACGCTCGCGAATTTTTAAAGCCAATTTAATCTTAATATATGATCAATAAAATTTACATGACTAACTTTTTCAGGTTTAATCTCTTAAATCCGTTTAAGTCTTTTTTGTAGTCGATTTGTTTTTAAATAAACATAATAATATAAGTTAGCAAGGCTATTTCATGGATTACATACATATGTATATCTACTATATAGTATATTATTATACACTCTGCTACTAATCACTATGCAACTATTTGTTTGAATTACTTTATATAATTCTATTGTACTCTATATAAAAGTATTGTAACTAGGAGACATATCGTCATGCATATACATACTATATAGTACGTACATATGTATTTCTATCAGTTTTCATTTGCATATTCGATAAGCAGTACGAGTTGGAAATTTTCGGCGATAGCTCTAGAAAAAAATCTATACAACAAAAGAGTCATATGGGCGTGTATATATGTAGGTATATATGTGTGTATATTAGCTGTAAATATTAACAACGTGAAATGACTGAAATATCAGTTGACCGCAGGGCTCACAGTATCTCCTAGTCGGATAGTCCCGAAGAAGGAGCTATTGTGTTAAACTTGCTTTACGACTAAGTTGAACAAATTGAAAGATGAAGAGAAAAAAATGTATATGCTTATATGTGTAAAGTATAATTTAACAAATAGTCGCTATATACAATAATATCTGTAAATATATCTATATATCTATCAGTATGTATATAAATATATATGTATATATGGCTAGACTGTTCTATCATTGATTGCAGCAACATCTCCAAATTGTTGAATAAAGCAATGTGAGACAAAAGTTGATTGGGTCACTTGGCACGGAAATGCACTAAATTTGCAGGAAACATAAAGAATGTGACAAATTTACGATGAAGTTGTTATAGACTTTAACATAAAACTAGAACTCTCTATGAGAATTGTGATATAACTGACTTCGCTTTTAAATCGAACTTCAATAGCGATCGAGTCGATGCTTTGGCAATATACTGTGCACATATTTTACTGAAGGCCTTCATTACGGGGAAAATATTTACTTGTCTGATGCTGCCTGCAAAAAATCGTTTGAGTGTCTATTTCTCCGTCATAAATTGAAAAACTTTGTTTTATTTATGGCAAACACATTTTCATAAATAAGTTTAATTGCCTTTTTTCCTTATTTTTTAGGTATATAGAATTTGCCGTTTGTGTTCAGATAATATATATACGTCGTATGTCAGCCTCATGGTCTTAATTGTCTATATTCTATATTCCATAAATATCACACACAGAAAAGATAACAAGTAAGAAAGCTCTAGTCGAGACTGCTCGACTACGAGATCCCCTGAAC